GAAGAAGAAGAAGAAGAAGAAGAAGAAGAAGAAGAAGAAGAAGAAGAAGAAGAAGAAGAAGAAGAAGAAGAAGAAGAAGAAGAGGAAGAGGAAGAAGAAGACATTACAAGTAATGAAACAAGTAACCAGTGTGCCCTCAGAATGAGGTAGAGGAGAAAAGAAATGTTTACGAGGGAGCTGGAGGTGAGGATACACCTTGCACAGAAATGAAATGTGGGTTACGCTTCAGGTTCACTTCATTGCAACAGCGCCCCCTGTGGGAACAGCGCTTGGACAGAATAAATGTTTCCCTAAGTGGGTCCCGTTCCCACCCAGCGTACAGAATCTTCAGTGTTTCTTTGTTGGGTGTGGTAGCAGGTTGTGTGGTTTGGTTTTATGGAGTATGGAGAATATTTTCTGTAATGTATGAGGCACTGAGTGACGACTCAGACTACTGGATTGCAAAGTCTCCACGCTTGCTAGCTCTGTGAAGTTTCATCCCTAAGAGAGATTATTCAGATCAATTAAATGAACAAAAGTAAGATTTTTCTAAACTCAGTTGTTCTATAAAAATAAAATGTATAATGAGAAATATCACAAGACCAAAACATACACACACACACACACACACACACACACACACACACACGTGTACATGCCCACACACAAACATATTCTCCGGTCTAGAACTCAGACTGAGACTTATATCAGCACTGGTTCTTAGGTCTTTGACAATGGTCTAGAATGAATGAATGAATGAATGAATGAATGAATGAATGAATGAATGAATGCCCCTAGCTTCCTAATTCTCTAGCTTGACAAGAGCAAGCTGTGAGGCTCCTGAGCCTCCACAACCTCAAGTCAAATCCATTTTATACATACACATGAACACATCTCCTATTGACTCTATTCTGTGGTGAATCCTGTTTGAAGTATGTGTACTGCTTTGGTTTAAGAGGACCTAGGTAAATACCAGTGTGTCACACACATTAATGTTATTTTTTATATACACAATAATAAAACTATTGTTAATGGAAATTTCAAAAAGTTCCTAGAGCACAAAAGACACCCACAAAATGAATATTTTAAATTTTTTAATGTAAGTTTTTTCCTTTGTGAGTAAAATAATAAAGATAAAGGTGCTCATCCAAATAGACTTCTGGAAAGTTGGTAGTGGAATCAGAGACTGGCTGGAGGTTTTTTAATGTTAGATGTCTTTTCTACCTTAGCTTCTTTTCAGAGTGAAAGTGAAATAAAATATAGTATTAGTGAGCATAAAAAATTATTGTAAGTATTTTCCTGAATGAAAAGATGCTAGTTTGCTTGTTTCTGGAACCACCGATGTTAAAACTTCCATCTCTATTCAGCACTTATCTGAGGATCTGCACTGTTCTCTTCTCCCAGAAGCTAACTAGCTTCATTTCTTGGTCCATGTGCTTTATTTATTTTTTTATTTTTTTATAAATATAGTTGGTTTAGGACCAGTTCTAACTACGTAAAATATTGGCTGATAACAGAACATGTTCCAAATGTGGCTAGTGTGATCCATAGTTTTTTTTAAAAAGTACCTACAGAAAAAGGATAAAAGTTTTTGCAACTTCAATGCAAGTTAGCTTCCAGCATTCACTTCCCAGAATTATTTAGTTTTGGCTCCTTGGCATATTTGCCTTTCTAGTTCCAAGATTTGTAATTTTATCTTCAAAACAGACAACAAGGCTAGTCTTTGGAATCAGCTTAGCTAAATGAATTTGGTGTTTCTGTTGAAGGAAAGTAGCAGAGTGCCTAGATTTTTGCTGTAAGTCTTTTATAACTGCTTCTATACACAGAAACCTTTTTTTAAAAAAAAAAAAAAAAGACACGCCCTCCACTCTTTGTTCACACGGTCACACACTGATGCTTACATGTTCCGGTAAGCATCTACTAAGACCAAATAGTCTCTGTATAATCCAAGTCATTTCTCTCCCATCTTTAGAAATCTACATGGGAACAACTAGATCAATAGGTCTGAAGCTACTATGTGTGTGAATGAACAAGCCCTTTTGCTTCCTATCTGAATGCTGCACATCTGTGTGGATTGTATATTGTGTTTGTGTATTTATGCTTTGATTCATAGTAACTCATGTTATGGAATTGATTTGCGTTGAACACAAACTGTAAATAAAGAAACAAATGGCTGAAATAAAAAAATGGTTGCTTTATTGTAGTTCAAATACATAAACTGAACATTCAAACATCTTAAAATTAAACTTCAAAAACAAAAGTTTAACATTCAAACAGTAGTATAGTTTACAGAGAACACCCAGAAAGGGAATTTTGTGGTCTAATCCAGAATATTGATAAAGGCCATTTAACTGAGAATAAAATGTTTAGCCAGTAGTTTTATTCTGGCCAACATGTTAGTTGTGAATATCATTCCATACCTGAGAAGAAATTAATAGATCTTCTGTTAGGCTAACAATGAGACTTGGTCTGTCATTCAGAGGGGATAATCAAAGCACGTAAGTGAACAAGTAGAACTAAACTGCTCCTCAGACAAAAGTAAAAGTGTGTCCATTATAATAATCTTAGCCCCTAGAAGAATTCATTTTTCTGTGTTTTCTCTTTTACCCACTTTAAGAAACAAAATCAAGGGGCTGGGGAGATAACTGAGTAGAATAAGTGCTTGCCTGGCAAGCACAGGGGCCTGAGTTCAATTCCCAGTTCCAAAGGAAAAAAAAAAAATCAAAACAAAACAAAGGTGACATTCTTTCTAGCAATTTTATACATGCAAGACATAGAGCATTTGTGGTTGGAACTTGAGAGATGTAAATACAGACTCCAAGAAAACCAAAACTGGGGATTGTTTTGTTTTGATCATTATTATTTTTTAATGTATTTTTAGCACAGAGTCTACAGGATCTCACTACACAGATCAGACTTGTAGTGATCCTTCCTGTTTTTCAGCCTCCCAAGTGCTGGGATTACAGGCACGCATCACCACA